GAGATCGCGTCTGTCCCATCTTGCAGAAGCGAATCCCTTACCCGGATTTCTACCTTGTCATCCACGACGCAATCCGCAACCGTCTGAGAGACAGGTGGATGACCATTAGTAGTAGTAGGCATCCATCCGTCTCAGGAGACTATGGAGTTGCACTCTGGATGAGTCTGAAGTGACTATTGCCTGAATTGTCATACAGACAATATGACTAAAGTCATATTCGATGACTTATCAATGTCAAATTACGTACAGGATAATGTGGACACGAGATCGTCAAAATGTTCCTGGTGGTAGTTCAGGTGGTGTAGTTGGTGGTGCAGGTGGTGGTGCAGGTGGTGGTGCAGGTGGTGGTGCAGGTGGTGGTGCAGGTGGTGGTGTAGTTGGTGGTGTAGTTCCTGGTAGTGTAGGTGGCGGTGTTCCAGCAGGAACCTGGTGAAGCTAGAGGCTGTGGCTCCCTCACTACACAAGTCAACACTCTCACCATTACGTCTATCGTTTCTCACCAATCCCCAACACTCCCTCCCCCCCCCCAAACACCACCACCACGAACTATAAGGCTGGAGTTCTCAGGGAATGACTCGAGTAACTACAGCGGCCCCTAGGGCGGTCAACGCGAGCTGGAGCCGTGAATCATGGGAAATCAGAGGGAACACCACAAGCGTTCCCTCTGTAACTTTTCATTACAAAAGTACCATGCAGAAGCCAAAACCCGCCAAACACACACAAACTACGACGTTGGTACAACGTTCGAACAAGTTTTGACACTTCCTAACCAGTTATAACAACCAATATAGCAAGTTGTAACAACGTTCTAATACGTCATAAACACGTTAAGACAAGATGTAACAACTTTATTACAAGTTGTAACAAGCGGAAAATAGAGACAGTTTCGGTTTGTGTTTCCAGGGAAGGTGCTATGAGAAGGGAAAGCTCTCAGCCTGCTAACAGGAGTCAGCACCTTTGACAGGCCGCCGGCTTCCTGTCTACATTGCATATTGCTATGCCATAGGATAGCAATATGCTGAGAGAGCAGGGAATGGGGGGGTGGGGGTGGTGGTGCACCTCTTCACTCGGCAGTAATTGAAGACCTGGTTGTAAAATGATTGGTAGGTCGTGTTCCAAGGGTAATTTATAGGGTTTGAGATTTGAGAAAGAAATGTCTCACAGAACGAGACATCATCCCACAAGGATTAGACACGTTGAACAAGGTTGTCAAGCGCCGCCTTAATGATTCTCTTGTCAGTTTAAGTGCGTCACTTAGCAACAATTATATTCCCTTGGCTATGGAGTAGTTGTTGATTAACGTATTTTGTAACTTACATATTTGGCGAATTCATAATTCCATCAAATTTGGCTGTAAATTATAAGAATTTGGCGTTGAGAAAGAAAACGGCGTCTGTAACACCAGTTATAAGTCGTCTGTGAACAGGATAAAAAAAAAATAAGATTGAAAGACAGGAGTCGAAGGTTCATGTCAGCTGCCTCCACGGACTGCCCGTGGACTGCCCATGTCTGCCCGCCTCCTCCGCGGACGGCGTCTGCCCGCCTCCTCCGCGGACGGCGTCTGCCCGCCTCCTCCGCGGACGGCGTCTGCCCGCCTCCTCCGCGGACGGCGTCTGCCCGCCTCCTCCGCGGACGGCGTCTGCCCGCCTCCTCCGCGGACGGCGTCTGCCCGCCTCCTCCGCGGACGGCGTCTGCCCGCCTCCTCCGCGGACGGCGTCTGCCCGCCTCCTCCGCGGACGGCGTCTGCCCGCCTCCTCCGCGGACGGCGTCTGCCCGCCTCCTCCGCGGACGGCGTCTGCCCGCCTCCTCCGCGGACGGCGTCTGCCCGCCTCCTCCGCGGACGGCGTCTGCCCGCCTCCTCCGCGGACGGCGTCTGCCCGCCTCCTCCGCGGACGGCGTCTGCCCGCCTCCTCCGCGGACGGCGTCTGCCCGCCTCCTCCGCGGACGGCGTCTGCCCGCCTCCTCCGCGGACGGCGTCTGCCCGCCTCCTCCGCGGACGGCGTCTGCCCGCCTCCTCCGCGGACGGCGTCTGCCCGCCTCCTCCGCGGACGGCGTCTGCCCGCCTCCTCCGCGGACGGCGTCTGCCCGCCTCCTCCGCGGACGGCGTCTGCCCGCCTCCTCCGCGGACGGCGTCTGCCCGCCTCCTCCGCGGACGGCGTCTGCCCGCCTCCTCCGCGGACGGCGTCTGCCCGCCTCCTCCGCGGACGGCGTCTGCCCGCCTCCTCCGCGGACGGCGTCTGCCCGCCTCCTCCGCGGACGGCGTCTGCCCGCCTCCTCCGCGGACGGCGTCTGCCCGCCTCCTCCGCGGACGGCGTCTGCCCGCCTCCTCCGCGGACGGCGTCTGCCCGCCTCCTCCGCGGACGGCGTCTGCCCGCCTCCTCCGCGGACGGCGTCTGCCCGCCTCCTCCGCGGACGGCGTCTGCCCGCCTCCTCCGCGGACGGCGTCTGCCCGCCTCCTCCGCGGACGGCGTCTCCCGCCACGCTCACTCCGTGTGGAACTCTATCATAATATTTATGAAGGCGTCGGCTACGTCGAAGACGTCACTTGGGACGTCTTCGAAGGCTGCGTCTGGAGCGTCCTTGAGGATCACTTCTAGAGCCTTTATCAGTGTCCCTTTAGCACCCTCCTGCAGGCCGCCACCTGCACCCTGCAGGTGAGCACGACGCTTGCAGGCCGCCAGGAGTATGTGCCCAAACTGCTCATTACTGACCTTCCCGAAGGTCTCGTTGACCTTATCGGTAAAGGCAAGGGCTGCAGTCTCTAGGGCGGCGCCCCTGGGAGGTGCCTCAGAGGGGCGCCGGGCGTACACCAGGGCGTCGTAGCTACATCCGGCCAGCCAGACGGTCACTAAGGCCATTACGTGGAGTTTAATTTTCTCCATTAAGGTCAAGGAGGAGACATGGGTCCATACCCGGCTGGCAGCAGAGGTCACCCACCGGCCGACGCCTGTCAAGGTCAAGTTGACCCCCAAAACGCGGGTCAAGGGCATCAAGTTGACCCCCACGACGCCGGTCAAGGGCATCAAGTTGACCCCCAAGACGCCGGTCAAGGCCATCAAACTGACCCCCACGACGCCGGTCAAGGTCAAACACCCGTAAAGAATAAATGTTGACTGAGAGACCATTTTCTTGTTAATACACGAATTTATTTATTTTTTTATTTTAAGTTACTTTAGTTGATGGATTACTTATTAAATTGCGTTGTTAAGTAGGATGTGTTACGTAGACGACGCCTTATCTTGAGGTTATCTTGAGATGATTTCGGGGCTTTAGTGTCCCCGCGGCCCGGTCCTCTACCAGGCCTCCACCCCCAGGAAGCAGCCCGTGACAGCTGACTAACACCCAGGTACCTATTTACTGCTAGGTAACAGGGGCATAGGGTGAAATAAACTCTGCCCATTGTTTCTCGCCGGCGCCTGGGATCGAACCCAGGATCACAAGTCCAGCGTGCTGTCCGCTCGGCCGACCGGCTCCCTAAGTACACAAGTGAAACATCTAGCCCCAGGCAGATGAACACTGGAAAGAACAGACTTACAGCCGTGGTGATTGATTGATTGATTTAGATTAAGCCAGCCAAAAGGTGGCACGGGCATGAATAGCCCGTAAGTGGTGGCCCTTTTGAGCCATTACCAGTATCAAGAGATGATACTGGAGATCTGTGGAGGTGCGACTGCACCCTGCGTGACGGGAGATGTATCCCGTGTACAGCCGTGGTAGTTACTAAGGACAATAGTAGTCCTGTAGTTAGCTACACTAGTCAAGCAGTTAGGAGACCATGTAACCAGATAGCAGCAGCAGCAGAAACCAGGTAGTTAGCCCAAGTAATAGGGCAGTTAGTACCAGTAATCAGCCAATTACCACCAATAACCAGACAGTGCCAAGAGGTCACAGAACGAGACATCGCCCAAGACACGTTGAACAAGGTTGTCAAGCGCCGCCTTAATGATTCACTTGTTAGTTTAAGTGCGTCACTTAGCAACAATTATATTCCCTTGGCTATGGAGTAGTTGTTGATTAACGTATTTGTAACTTACATATTTGGCGAATTCATAATTACAAAATTCTCTTTTGCATTGTAGCAGACTTATAAACAAGTGGATGCCAAAACCTTCAATAGTTTCATATAAGAACATAAGAATGAACACAACTGCAGAAGGCTTATTGACCCATACGAGGCAGCGCCTATCTATATATCCACACAAACTCGTTCATATACATGTCTAACCCACGCTTGACACAATCAAGGGACCCCACCTCCACCACGTTACGCGGTAATTAGTTCCACAAATCAACAACCATGTTCCTGAACTAACGTCTGGGATGCTCTCGGACGCAGGTTCGAATCCTCGTCACGGCCCTTGTGGATTTGTTCATTTACTGAACCAGTATTTACCCAGCTCTTTTCTAAATCTAAACCTATCCAATTATACTTTGATATGACGATAGACGGGACACCAGAAGCGTTCACATAATTACACTTAATGTAGGGAGCTGGTCGGCCGAGCGGACAGCACGCTGAACTTGTGATCTTGTGGTCCTGGGTTCGATCCCAGGCGCCGGCGAGAAACAATGGGCAGAGTTTCTTTCACCCTATGCCCCTGTTACCTAGCAGTAAAATAGGTACCTGGGTGTTAGTCAGCTGTCACGGGCTGCTTCCTGGGGGTGGAGGCCTGGTCGAGGACCGGGCCGCGGGGACACTAAAGCCCTGAAATCATCTCAAGATAACCTCAAGATAACCTCAAGATAAGACAGCCTCAAAACTGAATACACACAGAAATCACAATAGCCTGATGTATCAAATGAACAAATCCACAAGGGCCTCGAAAATTCGAACCTACGGAATATAATAAAAACGGAATATATTTGGATATATTCACAGTAACGTTGTAGATATGATGATGCCTTACGATGAACGTAAATTATACGAGATTATTTGGCGTGATAATCACGATACGGTAGTTAAGAGCTGAATGACCCTACGGCAGTTAGCATATACTTACCGTAAAGAACTAGAGCGGCGTAGACAGGGCTGCCAACCGAGGGCTCATCTGGAAGGAGACAATCTATTAAATATCCGTTTCCTTTATTTCAAGTTGAAGGTCTTAATATACATAAAGTAAAAACTCCACAGGAGCCGTGATGAGGGTTCGAAACCATGTACTGGGTATCCCCCCAGGCACGCGTCTGGGAACACCCTATACATAGGTTCGAACTCTAATCAAAACGCCTATGGATTTGATCTCTGATATATCACGTTAAAGAGATTTCTCTATCTCATCAACACTTATAACACTTTAGGTATCTGTAATGAGATAATGTGAAAGTGTTATAAGCCTTAGGTTGCTAGTGGTTCGTAGTCCATTTCCAAGATCAATTTTAACAAATCCAAGCTAACAACATCCTGAAATTAAACAAACGCAGCCAAGCATAATTTAAACAAACGCAGACACGCATAATTTAAACAAACGCAGGCAAGCATAATTTAAACAAACGCAGCCAAGCATAATTTTAATGTTAAAAAGCAGAGTTATTAACGTCTGGCGTGACGTCATCGGGCGTCATGGCTGCCAACCCTCCCGTACGCGGCATCTGCATCGACTTTAATCTTTAATAACGTTAAATAACTCTGGTTTTAATACTTAAAAAGTCTTAAATACAATACTAAGTAGTGGAGGTGTGTTTAAGAGTGTCAGAGAGGAGAGGTATTAAGGTTGATGACCTGTTTCGCTAATAATATATACTACAATACACTTATATGGTTGTATACACAGATCTGTTACCCCTATTTTATGTGTATACACAAAGTTAACTATTGTGTATTTTCACAATATTTTTCAATATTGTGTTATTGTGGTGAGTTTTAGGCCTATCCAACGCGAGAGAAGCCTATAAGCAACTAGGCTATCTTCTTGAGATGATTTCGGGGCTTTAGTGTCCCCGCGGCCCGGTCCTCGACCAGGCCTCCACCCCCAGGAAGCAGCCCGTGACAGCTGACTAACACCCAGGTACCTATTTTACTGCTAGGTAACAGGAGCATGGGGTGAAAGAAACTCTGGCGTTTTCTTGCCGGCGCCCGGGATCGAACCCGGGACCACAAGTCCAGCGTGCTGTCCGCTCGGCCGACCGGCTCCCTTATACGGTGTAAATATAGGTTGGATTAAATAACCTATGGCTTAAACATCCCATGGAGCTAATAACTCAACGTCTAGATATTAAATTATTTAAATAATATTGTGGTAAAAACCCAGCTTTTAATTATTTTTTTAGGCTTTCCACAGAAAGTTATAGAACATCTGTTAGGTAAATGATAAGCAAAGGCCATTATTTCAGCGCAATTGACAAAACTGTAAACTTGTATGGCACACTTCTAACAATGTGAACATCTTGAAGCGTAAGTCTACTGATGTCAACATCTTGAAGCGTAAGTCTACTGATGTCAACATCTTGAAGCGTAAGTCTACTGATGTCAACATCTTGAAGCGTAAGTCTACTGATGTCAACATCTTGAAGCGTAAGTCTACTGATGTCAACATCTTAAGACAAACGTGTTGATGGAAGCGTCTCATGATAACATCTGATAAACGCCTTCTGATGCATATATCAAACGAAGAAAATAACATTTGATATTATTATTATTTAATAATATCAAATGTTATTTTCATAAGCATATGAAAATAACATATGCTTATTATTATTATTTTCTACCACAGACGTGGCCAGACATTTACAATGCTAACCAGCATATATACATTTTCTTCTGTCCTCCATGGACAGGGTTAGAGATGTGTTAAACATATAGTTCAGGGGTTTATTGACCAATCAACTGCATTTGGTAGTGCAGGATAATCTTGATTTGAATAGTATACGACTTCGGGATTTCACATGAGGTCCAGCCACTTGGTGCGGTCGGTAGAACCACAGTCTTGCTTCCTGCAGGTCGGAGTTCGATCCCCGATGGTCGAAGTGGTTGGACATCCAGCCACTATCGATATCGTGTCCTATCCCAGCTATCCTCATGTGCTTGTGTGTGCGCGCAATATAAAAACGGATAACCACGAAGGGAAAATGAAACAAGAAATTACTTAAGCGCTTGTTTGTAAATCAACACATCACCAAAAGCATGATTTGTTACGCATTTATTTACTAGCTTAAATTTATTTACTAGCATTTATTTATCGCTTAAACTAATTTATTTACTAGCATTTATTTATCGCTTAAACTAATTTATTTTTCACTTTTCCTTTCGCACAGGAGTACTCACATATTATTACACATCCATATATGGCTTAATTTATAATGATCTAGAATATATTAAGAAGCGGAACCGGACATAGGTGCATCTTATTAAGATGTTTTAGTGGTTTAGGAGTGTTGTGCTCGGGAGGGTTGGCAGGCCTGGCGCGCGGGAGGGTTGGCAGGCCTGGCGCCCGCAGAGACCATCGCCCTTGTGAGGCCGACAGATGTTCCTGTTTATCATCTTCAACTGGTTACTTGCGCCTCTCACTAGGGATAGGAAACCCCACTAAATAATAAATGACTCAAGCCTGATTGCATTGCAAGTGTAATTAAGCGATAGGATTAAGCGATGTTTCAATTTAATCCCGATTAAGCTTTTAAGGTTTCGAGATTCTCTCTCTCTCTCTCTAACTACTGACCTCAGGATGCAACTTAGAATAGTTGCCAAAATCCCGGGTACCTATTTACTACTAGGTGAACACACACATCAGGTGAAAGGAAACCTTTCTCAACGGACTATCCTGGAGTCCCTCGGTTGTGAGCCGAGGACGTAGCCCACTATGCTTGGCTAGTCTTCCTCTGAAGTTGATATATTAATTGTGGCACGCGGTTATCAACCACAGGCTAGGTTATCACCAACCACAGGCTAGGTTATCACCAACCACAGGCTAGGTTATCACCAACCACAGGCTAGGTTATCACCAACCACAGGCTAGGTTATCACCAACCACAGGCTAGGTCATCACCAACCACAGGCTAGGTCATCACCAACCACAGGCTAGGTCATCACCAACCACAGGCTAGGTCATCACCAACCACAGGCTAGGTCATCACCAACCACAGGCTAGGTTATCACCAACCACAGGCTAGGTTATCACCAACCACAGGCTAGGTTATCACCAACCACAGGCTAGGTTATCACCAACCACAGGCTAGGTTATCACCAACCACAGGCTAGGTTATCACCAACCACAGGCTAGGTTATCACCAACCACAGGCTAGGTTATCACCAACCACAGGCTAGGTTATCACCAACCACAGGCTAGGTTATCACCAACCACAGGCTAGGTTATCACCAACCACAGGCTAGGTTATCACCAACCACAGGCTAGGTTATCACCAACCACAGGCTAGGTTATCACCAACCACAGGCTAGGTTATCACCAACCACAGGCTAGGTTATCACCAACCACAGGCTAGGTTATCACCAACCACAGGCTAGGTTATGAACACGATTAGACGTAAATAAACAGAGTTATTAAGACGATTATATCCTAACTAAATAATTTTACGATAACGGTCTCGATTGACAAGCTTGCTGTTTAAAAATCTTTATGTGCGCCGCAGTAAGTAATTATCTATGTAGATAAGTCATTCTCTATTAGATAATTAGGCGTGATTGTTAGTATAATTGATTTACATTGGACAGTTCAAATTTTCCAATATATGGAACCTGGCGACAGGCTTCGCTGCACCCGATTACGGATTTTTGAGAGTTTTAAAACATATTTTATCTTGTACTCAAATATCGCAGCGTTCCAAAGGTATGTATGTACACTGGAAACCAACTAGGGGCTCACCATAGCCCGTGCTACTTTGAACTTTTTGTTCCAAGTAGCAAATCTTAAAACAACAACCTAATATTCTTATATTTTGCTAAATGTGTATAGCAACGGTCTTGCTTCTTGCAAGGTAGGCGTTCGATCCCCGATGGACAAATCAGCAATGTAAGCCCACACTGGCTGCCTGTCCCTCTTACACATTTAAAAAAAAAACATATTCAATCATGTGCATACAACCCGTTCTCGCACTTAGTCAATATTTGGCATATGAACAAGTGCGTATGTGACATACTAACATTACGTTGCATTAATACACAGAAAACGGGAAGCATGAGAGGAACTGCATTAACCCTGGGAGACTGCGACAAATGTCACCATGCATAAGAGGTCAGTGGCCACCTAACCGTCTTAGAGAGTGTGTCGCCACGATTCTTAAACACTCTAAAGAGAAGGAAGAAATATCCCAACTGTGAAATTTATTGTCTTCGAGTGTCAACGCGAGACAGTTGGTTCCCATCACACTACCGTTATTTTGGGCAATTGTGTGTTCGGATATATGCAAATAATAATAATATTTTATTTAGGAAAAGTACATAGATGCAGAGTTACAAACATTCAGATTGATTTGGAGATAGAGCTAGTATATATAATACAATTACAATAAATGAAATACAATAAATAAAATAAAAAATACAATATAATACAATAAAAACATAAGATTTATTGCAGGCCTATTGGCCTATACGCGGCAGCCTCTATTATTTTATTTATTTATTTTATTTTATTTATGCATATACAAGAATGTACATAAGGAATGTGAGGATACAATTATGGTAATTACAGTCTTGTAAAGCCACTAGCACGCGCAGCGTTTCGGGCAGGCATTCGGGTATTCATGTCCTCAGAGAGGTGTATTCATTTCTGTGTATACAAACTTTATTTTGGATTATGATAAAGTAAGATTAATTAATTATGAAGAGAAAAACAAAGCTAATACCACTATATTAAGTTTAAGTACGTTTATTGAGACAATAAAATATATCTCAAAGGGATAGAGTAGATTAGGCTATATATCAACAAGGTGGGATAGGACGGAGGTAGGGAATGGTGTCCAACCACTTGGACTATAAGGGATCGAACGCGGATCTGTAAGAAGCTATTGTGGTTGATTAGCCTTATGTTGATTAGTAAACAAAAAATATTTCAAAGCGCGAAGAAAAAGATGTGATATGATAATTACGTACAAAATAGTAACAGGAATCGACAGAATTGATAAAGAATCATTTTTACAATCACAAGAGGACATTGGTTCAAACTAAGGAAACAAAGCTGCCGAAAAAAACATTAGAAAGTTCACTTTGACAGACTGGTAGACGGTTGGAACAAGTTTAGAGAAGGTGGTGGAGGCCAAGACCGTCAGTAGTTTCAAAGCGTTATATGACAAAGAGTACTGGGAAGACGGGACACCACGAGCGTAGCTCTCATCCTGTAACTACACTTAAACAATTACAAACACATACCTGATATTCTTAAGATCCGAAATTATGAAAACATTAACTTATGACAAATGACTTGACAGCCTTCCGGCGATCCTTCTCTTTAAATATTGTTATGACAAGTCTTTGCATTACCAAATTAACAAAAAAAATAAAAACTTACTTAAAAGAAAATTAATCATATACAAAACAACGCTAAAAAAATACCCGGATCAAATTAACTTAGTATTTACATAATATTTACATACAATTAAGTAAAACTGAATTATTACAAATTTTGGATGAATAATTAGAAAATTCCAGCAAACAGATTGACACAAACTAAAATAAATATATTTGGTGTGAGTAAAGGAGAAAGAACTAAGATACAGTCTCGCTCCATAACGACCACGTCGATATATCACCAGATTATATGCCATACTAGAATATACGAGCTAAAGTCTTATAAGAAACGAGAGAGAGTGGGAGGTTCCAGGTGCTATGCTAAGAAACAGTTTAATGTGTCGATGACTCGGCGACACGAGGCTACCAGCGGCACCCGAGTCCAGAAGCCAGATTCACGAAGCATTTACGCAAGCACTTACGAACGTGTACATCTTTCCTCAATCTTTGACTGCTTTGGTTACATTTATTAAACAGTTTACAAGCATGAAAACTTGCCAATCAACTGTTGTTATTGTTATAAACAGCCTCCTGGTGCTTCGGAGCTCATTAACTGTTTAATAATTGTAAACAACGCCGCCAAAGATTGAGAAAAGATGTACAGGTTCGTAAGTGCTGGCGTAAGTGTTTCGTGAATCTGGCCCCAGGAGCTGGATTCACGAAGCACTTATGAACCTGTCCATCTTTTCTCAATCTTTGGCGGCTTTGTTTACAATTATTAAACAGTTAATGAGCTCCGAAGCACCAGGAGGCTGTTTATACAGCCCGTCCTCCAAACAAAGATCCAAAAGTGATTCCATGCATCCGCCAAACCCCCTGTTTATGAATGAAAAACGGTTTACACACGACTCAACTGCTGATATTCGAACATATCCGGAACAAGTGCTTCACTGACGAATTTTGTTTGAACCACTTCGCTATAAATGCTTCACCCACGTACTACAAATGCAAATAATCGCCAACCGAACCTAAACACCTAACCTAACCTATGCCTATATATGCACAATATGCTAATATATTTTAATAATTTATATTTGAGAAAATTCTTGTTCTGAATGAACAGCATGTTAAAATTTATGAATGCGTCTGTGGGGGCGACCGCTGGATGTAATGGACTTGAGTCGAAGACGGGTTGGTTTATAACAACAACAACAGTTGATGTTTTCAACAACAACAGTTTTCAATAACAACAGTTGGCAAGTTTTCATGGTTGTAAACTGTTTAATAAATGTAACCAAAGCAGTCAAAGATTGAGGAAAGAAGTACGTGCGTAATTGCTTCGTGAATCTGGCCCAAGATCGTCTCTACAGCTGCACGAGTGTGTCCAGGCTATACAGTGCCTGTATTTTTTCAAATTATTGTATATTAACATTTTGTGTATAGTTAGACCTAAATTTGGTTTGGTTAAGTGTTCAGGTTCTGTTGACAATTATTTGTATTTGAAGCACACGAGTGAAGCATTTACTGAGATCCACTTCGAAAAGAGGACGTCAGCGAATCACTGTTCGAGAAATGTTCGAACTTCGTCTGTTGAGAGGCAGCTCGTCCTCCAAAGATCCAAAAGTGATTCCATGCACCCGCCAAACCCGCTGTTTATGAATGAAAAGCGGTTTACACACGACTCAACTGCTGATATTCGAACATATCCGGAACAAGTGCTTCACTGACGAATTTTGTTCGAACCACAACGCTGTAAATGCTTCACCCACGTACTACAAATACAAATAATCGCCAACAGAACCTAAACACCTAACCTATCCTATGCCTATATATACACAAAATGCTATTATAATAATTTATATTTGAGAAAATTCCCGTTTTTAATGAACATGTTAAAATTTATGAATGCGTCTGTGGGGTCGACCCCTGAATGAAATGGACTTGAGTCGAGAACGGGTTGAGAGAGTCGTGTGTTAAATGGTTTTCACCCATAAAAAGGCGGATTTGGAGGGTTTAAAAAGCGGATTTAACTAGCATATGACTTTTGAGGACCTGCTGTCTTCCAATGTGTTATGAGAAATGTAAAATTTATCACAAAGTTTATTTCTCTGGTTTAAGGTAACATTCCTTAGCTCTCGCTTGCAGTCTTTAAGTCGTCCGAGGTTTTAATGTGTATGGGACATTTGAGAAGTGTAATTAGCCGTTCTCAAGGTATCTTACCTTGAAAAGTAATCGTGAGGAAAAAGCGCTAGGTCAGTATGACTATATAAGACATGGAAGGGACATGAGAAAGTTTGAACTGGGCAAAGTAAGATAATTATGAGAAAGCGCTAAATTAGTATAAATGTAAGGCACTTGGAACGGATTAGATGCCAGGATAAGATGACTAGAGTGAAGGAACGATGCTCACCCACTAGGACCATCGGTAATCGAACACCGACCCTGCAAGAAGTGACGCCATAGCAGTACCGACCGAAGTGGATTAACCAACCCATCTTCAAAATAATGAGTGAAATATATTCAACAGATTAAGATATGTCACATCATCTTGAGATGATTTCGGGGGCTTAGCGTCCCCGCGGCCCGGTCCTCGACCAGATCTTTTTGTTACACACCCTCAGGAAGCAGCCCGTAGCAGCTGTCTAACTCCCAGGTACCTATTTACTGCTAGGCGAACAGAATATCAGGCTGAAAGAAACTCTGGCCCATTTGTTTCCACCTCCCCCCGGGGATTGAACTCTGAACCTCAGGACTATGAATCCGAAGCGCTGTCCACTCAGCTATCAAGCCCCTAACCTTCACCATAGAAGAAAAAAAACTTTACACTTACCCAATCGAGGTCAGAAAGTTAAGTGGTAATCCACTAAGGCTCTGCGACACTTAACAATCACTTACACAGTAACAATCAACAAATACTCAATCGATTGTCCAACACAGTTTAAAGACAAACTAGTTAATAGATATGATAAATGTAATCCAGTTAAGCCACAGATGGATTACACTTCCTCCATAGTCACGCTCTAGCAAATCACCATACAACTTGATTTGAATTACAGGACAAAATTAAAACTTCTCTCACGAGCGGCGGAGAGGCGAGCGTCACACCCTCACTCCGTCACTGCACGAGGGTTACTGATTCAACTTGAACTTGACAGCCGTCCGTGCTGCCAGATGGCATCAGTTGCCACACAGGTAATTACTTCCATGTTTTTTCCCCCAGAAAACAGTAATAATGTTTTATACATGCGATGTAAACACAGATTTATAGCACTAGGAGAATTAATTATTGTAGTTTAAGCGTTGTAGAAGGTATCTGGTGCAATTGTAGGGACCCCAAATGTAGAAGATAAATAACAGAACAGTTTGTAGTTCTTTAAAGTCTTCATATATATATATATATATATATATATATATATATATATATATATATATATATATATATATATACGTAAAGTTCACTTTTAATTCCTACCTGTTAGGAATGAAAGTTGATAACTGATTCCATGCCCAGGCAGAAGCAAATGGGCAAAAGTGATTTCTCCTGTGTTTACCTAGCAGTAAATAGGTACCTGGGAGTTAGACGGCTGCTACGGGCTAGTTAGTGTTGTTGAAGATTCACCTACTCAGAAAAAAAAGATTCAAAGTAGCACAGGCTATGGTGAGCCCGTAGTGAACATTTTTGGGGAGGATGCGTGCATGTACACGAGAGAGAGAGAGAAAGAGAGAGAGAGAGAGAGAGAGAGAGAGAGAGAGAGAGAGAGAGAGAGAGAGAGAGAGAGAGAGAGAGAGAGAGAGAGAGAGAGAGAGAGAGAGAGAGAGAGAGAGACAGAGAGACAGAGACAGAGACAGAGACAGAGACAGAGACAGAGAGACAGAGAGAGAGAGAGAGAGAGAGAGAGAGAGAGAGAGAGAGAGAGAGAGAGAGAGAGAGAGAGAGAGAGAGAGAGAGACAGAGAGACAGAGAGACAGAGAGACAGAGACAGAGACAGAGACAGAGACAGAGAGAGAGAGAGAGAGAGAGAGAGAGAGAGAGAGAGAGAGAGAGAGAGAGAGAGAGAGAGAGAGAGAGAGAGAGACAGAGACAGAGAGAGAGACAGACAGAGAGACAGAGAGAGAGAGTTTTTTAGTTTAGTTCATTTATTATGCACCCCATACCCATCTTGTGGGCGGTAGTGGAAAGGGTTACAGAGGCACATAATGGGCTCAGGGACTGAACCTCACAATTCATTTAGCTAAGCAAGTTACAATCTTGATGAGCTAGTTACAAAATTCAATATAAGTCGTCACAGAAAGAGAGAAGTATGTCTTAGTAAATATAAGATAAAATTAGATTGGGTATCAATATATTAAACAACTCACTGATATTTAGTGAAAGTGTATGATTTATACGCTCAAAAGGCTGCCATACACACTTGAGATCATAGCTAGTGTAACTAGAAGAGTTCTAGGCACAAAAGGTTTCCATACAAACTTGACAACAAAGCCGGCTCTTAGTGGGAAAGAGGGAAGATGAGAGAGTACCTATCGGTGGTGAAACAGAGATTAACTGTACGAGAGGATAAAGCCTTAGATCTCTTGAGGTTATCTTGAGATGATTTCGGGGCTTTAGTGTCCCCGCGGCCCGGTCCTCGACCAGGCCTCCACCCCCAGGAAGCAGCCCGTGACAGCTGACTAACACCCAGGTACCTATTTACTGCTAGGTAACAGGGGCATAGGGTGAAAGAAACTCTGCCCATTGTTTCTCGCCGGCGCCTGGGATCAAACCCAGGACCACAGGATCACAAGTCCCGCGTGCTGTCCACTCGGCCGACCGGTTCCCAAGGTAGATGTCTCCAGGTAGTTCCCAACGCCTCCATACCGTGTCCTTCATGGATATAAATACCCTGTCATCATAAAATCATCCATATCCCTGACTGTTGACGATGCTAAACTGATAACAATTTTAATTATTATAATGTTATAAGCTGATAATTTTACATTTGATTTATTATTACACTTATTATTAAAATATTATATCATAAAATATGACGCAAATGATCAGAATTTAACTATTAACTTCGACTGGGACAGAAAGCCGGCGACTTGTCAAAGGACCCACCCCACTTTTAAGGGAGCCGGTCGGCCGAGCGGACAGCACGCTGGACTTGTGATCCTGTGATCCTGGGTTCGATCCCAGGCGCCGGCGAGAAACAATGGGCAGAGTTTATTTCACCCTATGCCCCTGTTACCTAGCAGTAAAATAGGTACCTGGGTGTTAGTCAGCTGTCACGGGCTGCTTCCTGGGGGTGGAGGCCTGGTCGAGGACCGGGCCGCGGGGACACTAAAGCCCCGAAATCATCTCAAGATAACCTCAAGATAACCCCCCTACTGTTTTCTGAGGAATTTTCCAGCTGAATTTGGGAGTATTTTCTTGGCATTTAAGAGCTTACTGTGTGTTTACAAATGTATTATAAACATTTTCTCACATATTTCATTTCACACATTTATTTTTTTACATTGTGATGCTTTTGATGTATTCACTCAACACTAAAAAAATACTTATTTTGGTTATATAATGAAATGTATCATTTTAGAAAGATTTACTTATTCAGTTGAGCCTCGTCTTCGCTTTCAATAATTTTCTAAATGTTCGGGTGCCACAGGGGAAAGTGCCATGACCGGAAAAGTGCCATGACCGGAAAAGTGCCACATGGGGGCTTGACATGACCGGAAAAGTGCCACAGGAGGAGTACCATGACTGGAAAAGTGCCACATGGGGGCTTGACATGACCGGAAAAGTGCCACAGGAGGAGTACCATGACTGGAAAAGTGTCACAGGAGTACCATGACTGGAAAAGTGCCACAGCGAGTACCATGACTGGAAAAGTGCCACAGCGAGTACCATGACTGGAAAAGTGGCACAGGAGGAGTGCCATCACCGGAAAAGTGCCACAGGAGGAGTGCCATGACTGGAAAAGTGCCACAGGAGGAGTGCCATGACTGGAAAAGTGCCACAGGAGGAGTGCCATGACTGGAAAAGGGCCACAGGAGGCGTGCCATAACTGGAAAAGTGCCACAGGAGTGCCATGACCGGAAAAGTGCCACAGGGGGGGAAGGTAGTGGGAGATCATGGAGTTCCCCATGATCTGGGGGAACCCATGAACCGGAACACCGCCTTTCGTGTAAATATATGTTAGCTTTCAATTTGTATCCTCATCATTGTAATTTTATAGCCTGTGCTTCATCAATATAAATCTTGCCGCTCTCATTGTAAGCTGTGTGTGTGTGGCTTGTTCACCGCTGTTCACCTGTTCACTCCAGTCACATCTGCCTCGTCTGTGTCAATTATGTCAGAATTATGTTTTGAACGTGTCTGTTTAAAGTAGAGGAAATAGATGTTTTAAATCAGAGTTTTACTGGAGGGTATTTATACCCCTTGGGGGGGGGGGGAGGGGGCTCTATTACAATTATCTACCAATTTTGGATTAAAATGATCAAAAACCTTGCTTGATCAGAAATCAGATGATCAGAAACCTTGCACGATATATATACATATATATATATATATATATATATATATATATATATATATATATATATATATATATATATATATAATATATATATATATATATATATATATACATATATATATCGTGAATATATATATATAAAAAAACAGCTAAAATCTCACAATATATTTCTAACTTGTGTGTTTATGGTTTGCTGTTTTTCTTCTAAAACAAAAAATGATGATAAAATTATTATTGCTTTCTTTCACCTATTGTATTCTTAGCTACTCATATGTGAAGCAAAACCCAGCTATTGATATGTATTTTTTTAGTTATACAGTACAGGTAACTGGTGGGACTGGTGGTGGGCCAGTCTTCTATAGCCTAGTGAAGGGGGTATTGGGGAGAACATGTTGGGCAATCTTCTGACGACCACAATCTTTTTGAGGACAGTCTTAGCAAAGCTTTATAAGCTACGAATGTAACCGAGACTCGTAGTATCAGCTTTTGCTACTGTGATCAATAGCCTAAGCTTGTGGTTCCTAATTTAAATAAGCTTTATAACCAAATCACACACCAGAAGATTAGATTAGATTTTTTATTCAGGTAAAGGTACATACATTGAAGATGAGTTACAAACATAGTGTAGGATTTAAAGATAGAGCTAGTACATACAATACCTAAAGCCACTAGTACGCACAGCGGTTTCGGGCAAAGATGAAGAGACGACGATGTTTCGGTCTGTTTTGGACCATTATCAAGACACACGACTTGATAAAGGTCCAAGAGGGACTGAAACGTCGTCGTCTCTTCAAGTTCAAGTACGTTTTTGAGACAATAAAATCCATCTCAGACGGATAGAGTAGCTTAGGCTATTTCTACCCTCAATTCGTCTCTTAACCTTCTGGTGTGTGTGGTTTGATCAGCAAATCTTCAGTCACGTTATTGTGACTCATCTTCTTCAATAAACTTATCTTAAATAAGCCATCAATCCACATCAATCAGCCACAGCACAGAACAAAATTGTGAAGTCAAGAGAATATAATTTAACGTGAGTTTCCGGCATTGTGGAACACGAACCACACTTCCTTCGTGAGGTCGTACTCAACCTTGAGTTGAGTACGACCTCACTGTGCCTTCCAGCTCGTAAACTGTTTAATAAATACAGACGAAGCCGCCATGATCAAGCAAAGATGTACAGGTTTCGCAAGTGAACGGCGTAAATGCTTGATAGAGTTCTGCCCGAGGTTCAAACCTCGAATTGCCAGTTTGCAGGTCTCAGAATCTTCCGATAGTTCTTATTAATGCCACAGAACTGCTCTAGTCCAGGAAGAGTCCAATGGGCACCTATCCTTACCTACTCGCCCCTCTCCACCTTGTACTTGGTTGTAAAGCAAATGACGGGTCGTGTTCCAGGGGACAACTAGTAGGGTAAGGATGGCTATCAGAAGGGAACGCTCTCAGCCTGCTAACAGGAGTCAGGCGTCGTCTGCTCCTGTGTAAAAATATATATTTATTGAGTAGAATAGCGGCCGCAAGTGCTGACGGACATGTTGGATGGAAAGCACGTTGATTGTAAAGGCAAACTGATGGTGTGTGTGTGTGTGTGTGTGTGTGTGTGTGTGTG